GTTTTGGGGAAGAAAAAGTGCATCTTATATGGCGAAAAATACGGTATACCTCAACTGATAAACAAACATAAAATAACAACATACAGTAATACAAGCAGAATCTGATGGCTGTAAAAAGCAAGGTATACATTTATCATGGTCCCACACCTAGGTTTTAGCTGAGGGAACACCTATTCATTTAAATAATGTGCACTATAAGACATAATTCTAAAAAAAGCAATCTCTCCAATTTATTTCTGAACCTATTCTTCCTAAATTGAAGATAGTTATAATATTCAAATGTATGCATCCACTATTGTTCAGTATTCATTGTCTCTGTTGCAACCAGATTTGGAAATAAGAATATATGCACATACTAACAAGAGTACTGTACAAATACCCAAAGGTAAAAGTAGAAGCAACTTACCAAGTACTGTTAGCTGGACTCTATGAGTATTAATGCCAGGAGGCTTCTTCACTTTACACTGGTATGTGCCAGTATCAGCTGGTTTTAAATTGAGAATATCAATGGTAGCATCTCCAGAGGCTGGATTTTGACTGACAAACTGCACTCGTCCGGCCATATGATACTTATCATATACCCTGTCTACATTGTACATAATTATCTGAAAGAAAAAAAGAAAAAGAACCCATTACACATCTTATCTCAATTAGGTAAACTGTACTTAATAAAATTTCTGCCCTTCCAACAGTAAGTACAATAGTTATCCTAGAGTCTTTTCAATTAAATGGTAGCAGTTAAAGAGATACTAAGTATTTTATTTTACATTTCTGACATTTGGACATATAACACATATACCAAAGAGTTAATTTAAATCTAAAATGGAACATTATTCAAAATTAAGATTCTAAAAGCTTCTAAAAGCTTCTAAAAGCTTCTACTTACTGGTTGCTCATCATTTGGTTGTAATACAACCCATTCAATGTCAAGAGAGCCTTCATCTGCTGCTGCAAGAGTAAATGTGCACAATAGTGTAACTTTCTCTCCTCGAGCCTTTGTTACCATCACCTGGTCCGTTGAAGTTATTACTACACCACTAGATAGATCTAAAAAGAAAAAGAAAAGAAAAAAAGCACGGGGGGGGGGGAGGAAATGGTAAAATCAATATTTTAAAGAACAATACAGCTATGAACACATACATTTAAACACAATGACATAGATCAGCATCCAAAAGTGTTTTTTTTACCATATACATGTACTCTCAGATACCTGTTCCACTACTACACACTATGACACAACCCAATTTCCAGTTCCACAGCTAGACAAATGTCTAAGAACCACAATAAAAGAATGCTGCAAATTATACAGCTAGAAAAACTAAGGGAACTTCCACTGTTTCCTCCACTAGCATTATGTTACATTTAGGCCATAGCTTCCTTCTATTTCATTACACATCTAAACAAATCAGATCATTTGGAAGTATCTACTACTAATGCCTTGTTTCCAAAAGCAGATGGGGGCAAACAGAGTGAATGTTAGGCCTTTGTTGCCATAAACAAAAACTATGGATATTTTTAAATAATTTCTTAACAATATTTTTCTAATAAATTAGAAGTGGCACATCTACATCAAGATAAAACTACTACTAAAGACCAATGCTATGCCAAAGGGACTGAATTCTAGAG